TTCCCTATGTCATGCTGGCCTGCCCGCCTGGCAGTGAGCTGGAAGGAAGCTGGTTAACAATGTCTGATCATGATCATCATCCCCACAACAGAGCTCTGCTATATATAACATATATATAACATATATATAACATATATGTAACAGTTCCCTGGCTGGGAACTGGGCAAACATGAGAAAACCAGCACAGGAACCAAGTCACAGCCCGGGGTTTTTTCTTGGTCCTAGAACTCCAAACATTCAGGGTTCAAGGGACACTTGGAGGACATCTGGAGAAGTTTTTATCTTATTCTGGGCAGGAAGTCAAGGCTGAGAAGAAAACAAGTCATCTTCCAAGGAGCTGGTGGCATGAGGTGGGAAGGAGTGTAGCTTTTCAAGCCAGTATTGCCCAAGATCAGGCTGTCAGAGTGGCACGGCACTCCTGGGTGAGATGCAGGGCAGGCAGGCATGGTTGTGGTGCCTCCCAGCAAGGTGATGCTGAGTGCCCCACTGGGGATCCCCCACGCACGGGCAAGGGGGGCAACTGCAGGACAGCAGCTTTTGGAGCCCCTGCTAAAACTGCTCCGGGCGGTGGACTCGTGCCCAAGTTTACAGTTTCTCACGTGGCAGGTGAAGTCTGGGAACAAGGGGAGAAGGAGGCAGCAGCAGTGCAAGTGCACGCTTCCCCAAACTTGTTTTAAGAGCAAATCAGTTCAGAAGGGCCAGACCAGTTGTTTTCAGTTTGTGTAACCTAATGCCGAATTTCCTTTATGCAGTGAACTGTTTCCACTTCTTTCTTTGTCTCTCTCTAATTGGGTTTTCTGATTGGAGATGCAGTCGCAGTCTTATGCAGACACTTTGTAAGAGCATCCTGCACTCACATAAACAGAGCAGGAGGCAGAAGCAGCTCACATTATCTCATTAAGATACTTCTGGAGGAATGCTGCTGCTAACATAAACTCATTACTGGATGGAAGAGCAGCAGCAGTTGTTTTCACATAGATGGATCCAAGCCCAAGTGATCAGTTAATTGTTTCTGTACTCTTTACTGGATTCTTAAGTATTTTTTTAAATGTTGCCTGAGTGCTAGATAACTACATGCTACATTCACACAGTAACTTCTACTCAGTTCCAGCAGAGCGCTGGACAATGTGCCTTCACCGGGTTCGGGTGATCAGTGGCAGTGATCAGCTCTCTGCTCTGACACAACATACCAGCACTGTGATGAGAGTATTCGTAGGAAGAGAGCGTTTCACAGGCTCTGTCCAGGAATGAGAGTAATCTCCCACGGGACTGGCTCTGAACAGTCTGTGATGCTCCAAACCATCCAAGATGTGGCCCACGTTTTACTCTCTCTGACTGCCTTTAGCAACATGAGCCTCCCCAGCTGATCTGAATGTCAGCATGGAATTGACTCAGAGTCCACATTTATAAAAAAATTACATTATCTTTTTTGTTTAAAGAGTATATGATACCCTTTCACCATCTTCACAGCTAGAACGTGGACTGTTTATCTAACGTGGGGAGAAGGGCACTGGCAGCCAAATATTCCACATGAAAGAGTAACAGAACGTGGCAGCTGAGAACATTGGGAGACACAAATTTCCCTTGGAAGCATGAACTGGGTGCCTGGAGCTGTGCTAGCGACAGGTTGGTAGGGATCTTAAAGCGTCCTGCCGGCCAAGTTTCCACTGGAAAGTGTTGTCAGTTCTTACCAGCTTACCCACCCAGCCCCATGGTCTGCAGCTTTGCAGAACAGCTATTGACAGAGGGACAATCCACCCTGATCTAAGCAGGTAGCATTATTTTTCAGCTCCATCCCACCTTAACTGTCTGAAGAATAACTTTCAAATACAGAGGTCAGTGGGGGGAAAAAAACCCTGCTCTTGGTAGCCAGCTGAGCTGATAGCATAGGCCATACATGGGTTTGGAATGAGGGGCATTAGACTCAACCTCCCCAGTGCCAAGAAATACACAGCTAAAATGGGCAGCTCAGAGATGAGTAATGCACAGACAGGGCCCGGGGCGTTGGGAGTGTTCAGGCACTTTCAGAGTATGTTGGGTAAACGAGTATCTGTTTCCATGGCATCAAAACAGCACAGACACTACGCCGTGTCCCTTCGATGGTTCTCTGATCCCAGTGCTTCGTGTGAGCAGATCTGACTTCCAGCAGAAGCATTCCCTGGCTCTAGCATGGAGAACAGTGAATTCCCCTCGTGGGGAGGGGCTGCCCAGGACCAGCAGGCACTGTCTGCTCCAGTGCAGGGCTTGGGGATGGGGCCGTTCCAGAGAGCTCCTGCGGGAGACAGAGGCCACGTGGTGTTTCTTCTGCCTAGTGCCTGCTGGAAGTGATGCTAGTAAACAGGTCCTCAGGCTCCTCTGGAGAAGTGCAGTGGGTGGGCAGAGAAGGCTTCTCAGAAGGCATTACTGCCACTGTTCTGATCTGAAACCATTCCTAATGGTCCAAGAAATCCACCCGTAACTGACTCTCTGATATCTCCCCTGAAATTTATTGTGACTAACATGTCCTCCTGCACTGCACTCACATCATGTATGTCGCTGGCATTCCTTGCCATGCTGTGCCACAGAGGAGACTGGTTTTGGGGTGACCAAAATGGTTGCTGTACCTACAGTAGGGTGACTATGTGCCGTGGGGTTATTCAGCACAGAAGGTACTATCCAGTGGAGGGTTTTATTGTGATGCCATTCATGACGTTGCTTGGCAGCTGGGAGCCTGCCAGGGCTTTCCACCACGCAGCCACACCGTCCTTTCTTCCTCCCCTCAGATACTGTATGACCAATGCTTTGCTCTGCTCTGTCTTGTGGGAATGTTTTATCCTATTAAGGCACCACTGACAGCCAGATGTTCTGTTTTAGTCAGGACTCTATTTTTTTAAAACAAACATTTTTGAGCTGATGTTATTTTTATTTAGTTCGATCTGTGAAACTTCTGAAGACAGATCTTTGCTTGGCAAGGTCATATCAGGGAATGAGGGAGAAATTACTATCAGTCACTGTCTACGTATGTACATGCACACGAGGAGCCTACTTAGAGAGCAGTACTAATGTTGCAAACCTGAATATTCATGTGTTTTCCTAACGTGCTCTGTTAAATTGAGCTTTCAGTCCCACTCCACCTTGGAGTTATATGATCATACACTCTTTTTCACAAGGTCCTCTGTGCTTTGGAGGGCTCTGCCAGACCTGGTTGTGCAATGAATTTGGAGTTGGGTGTTGTGGAAAGCTCGTGCCTGAGGAATTCTCTGGTCTTTTGCTGCAGAAGTCAAAATGTGTATTGGAAATGAAATGGGATATGAGGAGGAGGGCATATTCTGTGGCAGCTGGACTCCACACCAGCCTCTGCCACAGAATTCCTTTCTGAAGCGTGGTAAATCTCTTCCACCAACTTTTGAGGTGGTCACTAATGCCCTCTTCTTAGTCTCTGGGATTCCTCACATAAATCCCTGGAGACAGACTCAGCCACGCGAGCCCCTGTCAGTTCAGTGAGAGTGAGCAGGGCAGTGCCTCGGCCCCGGCCCCTGAGCCAGCCTGTCTGCCTGCCCAGAGAAACCAGCTCCAGTGTGCTGAGCACCGGGCACCCAGAGTCACTGCCATCGCTCTGTGCTTGGCCTTTCCACCAGTGAAATGAGGACAGTGCTTTCCTCTGGCATCCCAAGGGTGCCGTGGGACTGTAACAGCATTGTGCACTCGGGGTGGGACTGCTGAGCTCGGGCAGTGCAGAGTCCTGCATCCCGCAGGGCTTGGAATGTCTGTGCTTAAGGAAAGGGATCTCTCTCTCCTTAGGACCTCTCCTCAACCAGCAACCCTGGTTTCTTTTATTTTTAGGATATTCCATGTTTTGATATGTTCAGAAGTCAAAAGGTAATCATTCTGAGCATGCTGTAAACTCCCCAGTACTTAAAGCTCTAATACAGGCAAATGCTGAAATGGGAAATGCCCGTGGGACAGGTTTTCCCATGCTTACTAGGCAAGAGCCATTGCTGTGAGGATTTCTCTCTCAGGCTAGGATCCGTCATCCTTCTACGGCACAAAATTAATTTAGCAAATAAAAGGAGGCCTGTGCCCTTCCTGTGTGTATGCTGACTTTTATGGTCATGGTGTCTCACTCGAAGTCTCAGCATTACAGTCATCTCATTTCTGTGTTACACAGGACTTGGTGGTGGTGGCTCTTAAAAAACATGCAAGTGTCTTGAGATTACACTAGCTGGAGAGGGACCTACTAAGAGTCTATTTACTGAACCTAAGTCATGGAAGATGGAGAAAAATCCACTACATAACCTCATACATTCCTTCAGCCCATAAAATATGCCTCCCTACAGTATTGTATGCTGTTCATAGCTTTGTCCAGTCCAGTTTTAAATTACATTTCCATACCTTTCCTTAAAAAACTGTTCAATGGCATGAGTCTTAGGAAGTTTTTCTTGACCTTCAGCCTGTGGGTTTTTTCTCTGCTTAATTTCGTATCATTACTTTGAATTTTGGCTGTGAAAACTGGAAGCATTTCAAGTTAGGAAAGTTTTAAGTGTCCCACATAAATGTGAGAGTTGACAAGTGTTTTAATAATAAGGAAGGGGAGGAAAGTGTCTGAAAGCACAGATCATGGCTCAGTGCTGAGGTTTCATAAGTGTTAACCAGATAAAAAGAGAACTTGTGGAGTGCAGTGAGCAGATCTGCTTCCACGGGGGCCAGGCTGACTGGAATGTGTTTTTGTCTTGCAGAAGATGAAGCCCATAGTCCAAAGAAGACGCTCTACCCCTTCTGCCATTACTAAAGCTCTCAGCAAGTCAAAGTACCATTCCAGGTAGAGGAAATACTTCTCTGACTCCTTTTTCCACCTTTCTGCTTATATGGACTGAGATCAAACCGGTTTTCAAATTAATTTAACAATGTGGAGGGCAATTTGTTTGTGGACAGGTATAGAAGAGTCTCTCTTCTACCAGAATGGCCTGCTGGTCAGCAGCAGAAGCTGAGGGAAGGGAGGAGGGTGGGGGGACATTAACGTTATGGCATTTGTCTGTGACTGTGGCAACACCGTCCCCGTGGAGCATGCTGGTGTCCACTCCAGAGTGTCCCTGCCCAGCCACACCACCACATCCTGGCGTTCTGAAACGAGGGTGGGGTCAGTCTCAGGTGAACTTGCAGGATCATTTAATATAAAGGGCAGGACTGATTAGCATTTGCTTGCCTTCTGACCAAGTTGTGTGGCTTCTTTGTCGTTTTCCCCCTACCACCTCCTAACTTGCACTAAAAAAAAAGTAAAGAAGAGAAACAAATTCTTGACTTTATTTGGCTGGGGAATATCCTTCTGAGGGAGGGAAGCTTTAAACGTTTCTCGTGATGGATTGCTGTGGAGGGAGCTGGTGCAATGCCATCTTTGCTTAGGCCAACAGAGTATTGGGGAAAGTTTTTTTTTCCTAATCTTGCTGTTTAATTCTAATCTTGTGTTTACAAATCTGTGTAACTCCTCCAGCTTTAGGAAATCCACTGCTGAGGCTGTGAGATGGTGTGGCTCTCACTGCTCTATTGACGCACATGGAAAGCTTTTAATATCAAGTTTAAAGATGATTTAGGTTCTCACTTGAAGAGGCAACAGATGCATAAGCCAAGAATTCACTTGTTGCCTGTGGGGTGGTGAGGAGGGAAGAGGGAATTTCTGTTTGCAAGAGTGTGAGAGTTCCTGTGACTGGGAGATACTTTTAAAAAGCAGCTACTGGCTAGCTTTAACTTCACTCCTGTGAAATCAAAGGAGCCCAATTATGAGGCCAGTGGAAATTTATTTGAAGACTAGCAATGTCAATAATACTACCCTTAAAGCTCCTGTGTTTTTTAATTTGTTCGTGTGGAGACTGCCCTTAGATTAGTGTTGCTGAGGGCTGGAGGGAAGGCAAGTATCTCCTCCACATGTGTCTTGCCTGCAGGCAAGATACGTATTTTTGTCTATGCATAGAGACAGGAGGATTTCTGGCTTCTTTCTGCCTACATAAATCTAAGGCCATATCTCAGAGATTAGCTAATTCAGTCAGGGTTGGATACACAAATACTGTCTCTGAACGAGACTCAGCAAAGAACTACTGTTTGTTCATTCAGCACAGTCCCACCTGTAGAGCAAGCGCACAAGTGACCGTGAGACCCGTTGTACTTCCAGCACTGCCAGCCAGGGCTGGGGCAGCACTGAAAAGGTGCTCTGGGAGGGTGCTGAGAGGCAAGTGGGGAGATCAGCACTTGGTGGAGCTCCTCCAGCTGGGGAGAGCATAGAGAGAGGCTCTAGTTTGATCCCAGCAGTGGCTTGTTCACTTCAGTCCACGTGCAAAAACCCATTTGGGTTTTTTTGAAATTGTCAGTACCTTTATCAGTCTCAGTAGAAACAAGATGCTGGATTGCAGCCAGGGTAAAGCCAGAATTGGATGGCTGGAATTAGGTGAGTACATGCAGTCTGGTTGGGGTTTTTTTGTGCTGAAGCCCTTGCATTGACAAGCAGCTCAGTATGGATGGAAAACGTGCAGAATTGCCAGTGCTATGAGCCACAGGTTTTCAGCATTCTTTTGACTCATAGCTCACACGCATGTGCAGGAAATAAGTGTTTAACCTGAGTGAGAAATTACTCAAAAATTAGTATTTCAGCAGCCTAACTTCCCCAGATTTGGTGTGGGCATTCAGGCAGTTTTCCATCTTTCTGAAGCTGGTAAAATTAATTGGGCAGAAGCAGACAAATGTAGTTCACAACTGAGATAAATAGGGGCAGTGCTGGGAGAAGCATGGGGCTGTCAGGCTGTTCCAAAACAGTCACCTGTGTCGAATCTCAAACCCTTGTGAGAAAAATCTCTGACAAAGACACATGATTTTTCTTCCTCCTGCAGGGAAACTACCCTTTCCTCTTCCCATTCAGACAATGGGCTGCCAGGTGGGGTGTTCAGCAGCCCAGGCTCCACTTGCATCCTGGACGAGCGCGTGCAGCTGACCGTGGGCCTGCAGACACAGGAGAGACACTTGATCTTGTGCAGTGATGTGCTGGTCATCGCCAAGTCCAAGTAAGAGGGATTCACACTTACTCCTTCTCCCCAGCACATGCTGTTGCAGCTAGGCTCTGAGCTATTTGTGGAGCATGTATTGAAGCAACTCTTCTTTACAAATGTGGCCTGTCCCCTTCCACCTCCAGGAATTCTTCTTGGTATGAACATTTCACTCCATTTTCCTGGAGGAAAGGTCATCTAATTGGTTTTGCCTCTTCCCTTATGTGGCTTCTGGAAGGAATAGCATGAGGGCAAGAGGCAGTGAGGACAGAAAACTGACTGCTGGTCTGGCTACTTCTGCCACGCATAAATTAAGACCTTAGGTGACAAGTTATTAGCATAGACAGTAATTAGCCAAATCACCATTTACCTGCACGTGGCTGTAGTCAGTCGCATTGCTCTAAGCTGCAGCTGTCCCACTGCAGCCACCAACCCCCAAATCCTCTTGCTAAACTTTCTTGTAGTGCCTCCACATGCACAGATGTTTTGTTCTGGGAGGCTTGTTGCTTTCACTGTATCTGCATGACTGGAAGGTGGCATGACCAGACTCTGAAGGTTTAGATGTTAGGATCTTGCCTAAGAAAACCATAATTTGAATTGCAGGTCCTCCTCCAGCCTGAAGCTGAAAAAGCAGGTGCACCTGAGTGAAGTGTGGACTGGAAGCTGTCTCAGCGAAGTGACAGAGAAGAAGATGAGTCCTGAGAATTCGTTTGTCATTGGCTGGCCTACCACCAACTATGTTGTTACCTTCAGGTATCTCATCAGACAGCAGAGCTCCCTCTGCAGCCTGGCAGGTGCCCAAGTCTCCCATGTGCCCTGAACTCCACCACAACCCTTCTGCCCATTGAGTAGAGGACTTCCACTCATATTGGACAGTGTGGTAAAAACTTGGATGTTGGGAGACAATAATCTTAGAAAGAATCTGCAGGGATCCTTTTAGAGGACCAACCCTTGCAAGTGTTGTTACAGCAAAGGCTAACCCTGCTGCAGAGCATCCTGCAACCTCACAGCTGGATCTGCCATAGCTAACCAGTTTGTTCCATCCTGTGACCTGCAAGCTTGTTGTTTCAGCACCTGCTGACAGCCATTTCTGTAGGAAACTAGTCCTAGTTTGAGGATTTTTCATTACAAAGGACAGGTTAGTTATGTAAATGAAAATGCCAGATGGCCTTGTGCCAGATCCTTGATAAAGGATCAAGTCCTTTATCTGCACCTAGTGTGGCATGGACAGCTTCTGGGCAGACCTTCCCCCTGCAGTTGTCTGCCAGGGTGTCCCAAGCCCACAGCACCAGAATATAAAAATGGAAAGGTTCTTCAAGGTGGGTCAGCACAAGCAGCACGGTCTAGAGTTTGCTTAGACCTTGCCAACCCCAAAAATAGGAGCATGGAGCAGTCTAGAGATTAGCCCATTCCTGTTGAAATGCCATCTCAAAGTCTGTCCTGATGTTGTGCCTGAGATAATAAGGCTGACCAAAAAGCAGGTGACCTTTTTATTACCTGGAGCTCTGTCTGGCCTGGCTGACACCTGGAGCTGAGGTCACTGCTGGCTCAGGCATCTCTGCTTCCCACCCTTCTGCCAAGCAGAGGGGTCAGCAGTCGTCAGGGGTTGTTCTGTCATCAGTGGTTCTGCTGGCACAGCTAGGAAGGACTGATCTGGCCTGGTGTTTGTCCTTCTGTGAGACAGCTGCCTTGGTGGAAAAAGAAATGGGAACCACACCATGGCTTCACACGTGATGTCTCATTTCCAGGGCTCAGGATGGTCTCTCCCGGGTGATGCATTACTGACTAGGGTTCATGCTCAGGCATGCAAGCTGCCATTTGTGTCTCAGTCCAGACTCAATGGCAGTTCCATTTCCTTCACAACACTGAGAGCTGGGTAGCCCTTGTTGGCAGCAGAAGTTTCTAGGATCAGCAGATATTGGGAAGGACGTAATAAGACAAAGAAAATAGCAGTTAAAGGTCACTGAAAAACTAATAAGGGCCCACAAGCTGAATTAACTCCAACATCACAGAAAGACATTTGCCCTTGATCTGGACACTGACCAGTCAGGGTGGGCAATGCAGTCCAGTTTGTTGCTGAGATTTTTCTGATATTATTTTTGTAATTTGTTAAAATAGGACAGAAGCAGGACAGAACTGTCCTTTTGTTCCAGGGCTTTTCAGGAAGGAACTTTGACTTACAGCTATCTATAAATGAAACTGGGTAGAGTTTCCAAAGGCTGTTACCCACTCAGCACTTGTTTGATGATCTGCCTCCCTTTCTATCTTCAGCTCAGCTGACGTGAAGGAACGATGGCTGTCAGCATTACTGTGGTAAGTGACCCTCCTTTCATCCCTCTCCTGGGTGGTTCCTCTGCAGTCCTCAGAAAAGTTTGTCATGCTAGGTGTCAGATTGCCTTCTGATTTTCAGCACATTAAGTATCTAGCTACTGTTTGAAAAATCCACCATCGAAACCTCAGTGTTGGAGCCCCTGGGTAAAAGCAAAATTGGTGTTAACAATCCAGGGAGATTAAATCCACTAGGGGATAGCATTGTTGGAACACCTTTTTAATTTTTGAGCCACTGGAAAGGCTGACTTTTCTAGTCACTATGGAAATGTCACAAGCATTACTGATTCTTCAGATGGTTTTTGATTCAAACTCAAGTTCCTGTTTCATGGCATCTAGAGGCTACAGTAGTTTCTTTTTCGTGCTACATTTTCCTGGGTTGTTTCCGGTAACATGGAGAGAAAGATAAAGAAGCCAGTAAGAGCATGTGAGCACACTGTGAACATTGTCTGTTATTGTTACTGTCATAATGAATATGTATTTACTATAGTGCCAAGGAGCAGGTTCCCTTGGACCTCTTGGATCCAAATCTTAGGGTCCTTCTCAAGTTTGGTTGGGAAATTATATTCCCTTCCCTTTCTTTGGCTTTCAGGCATATCAATGAGGCAAAACAGAATGAATATCTGAAGAATCTAACCCTTCAGATCTTTGTGCTGGACACTGACAACTGTTCTTCTGTAAGTAGAGCTAAGAACCTGCTCATCCAGCCAATGCTACAGGGAGCTCTGTTGGGTAGGGGTGGGAAGGCAAGGCTGTGGTGCTGCTGCTGCTATCCCTCTTTAAAATTCAAGTCTCATCTGAAAAGGTTTAGAGGATGTGCCTCTGGGCAGCTACATCTTTCCCTCTGGAATCCCACTCAGAGAGTTTTGGGCTGGAAAATCAGGAGGTAGTCAGACCCTACCAAAGAACAGTTAGTTCTTAAGATTATTTGTGGCCTCTGGCTTCTCTTCTCTTTTCCTCTGCCTCACGTCATAACTGGTGATGGTTTGTGGGTGAGTGCCCAGGCATTCCTATTTGCAGTGTAGCAAGTTGAGGATATTGATCATGAAAGAGTCACTGATGTGATCTTCTGAATTAATGTCCTGGAATCTGTTCCAGTCTTTTCCTATTAACAGCATACATTTCTAGGCTTCATGCCAAGGTTGGTAGGTCACATTTAGCTTCTAAGGACTCCTCCCTTAGAGTGACCCCAGACACTCGTGGTTTATTAGCGTTGTGCCATGTCACACTTTGGAGAGACAGTGGCACTCCTGTGAGTCAGATTCTCATGTGACCAAGCACAGCATCTGAATACCACCCAGCTCTGTGATTTCTACTTGATGAAGTCTTTGGATGGTGTAGTAAACCTGTGACAGAAAAAGTAGAAAACAGTTTTCACAGTGGATAGCCATCACCCTTAACAATAATTCTGGTGTAGTTCAAATTGGCACAACTCTTCTAACCATGAACATTTCATAAAGAGAGTCAATAGACTGTTGAGTGAAATTTCCCCCAGATTTTCAAACTACAAGAAACTGCAACCAAATTTCTTGCCTTCTTACTAGCTCCCTGTGTTTTCTGTTTTCTTTTCTAGACTACTGCAGTCAATGTGTCCAATGTGGAAACAGCAGAGAGTGTGATGAAGAAGACCCTTCTACAGCTTGGACTTCCTGTAAGTGGCAGCTGCTTAGGCTGCCAGATCTTAGCTGAGGAAGCTGGCAGTGTCTGGTGTGTGGGACAGAGCAGTGTGGAGCAGTCCAGATCTGCTGTAGCTAACCAGTAAGGCTCCCCAGAGTACAAGAGGAAGCAACCTCTCTGTAGGTGCCAAGTAATAGAAACACAGACCTGCTTGCATGCATACATTAAATTCAAACCTTGTATATTAAAGTCCTTTGGATTTCAGAGGACTTGCTGGTTGCAGTCCAGCATTAGTATTGAGTCAGGCTTGTCAAGGGATTATTAATATAGCCATGAAATACTGAAAAACCAGTGATGTTGGCAGATGAGCCTTTCCCACTGCAGTGGTCCAGCCTTTCCCATTACAGGTCACTTTGACAGTGGTCCAGTAGTTTAATACCAAGGAGTGCTGGTAAAACAGGCTGGGAAACCATCATGTGGGTTTACATCCTGCTGGCTCTCAGTCTTTTCTTCTCCTGAACCTTTCCCTTTCCTCTGCATATCAAACAGACTGATCCAGAGCACTGTCCCTCCCAGCCGTGTGGCTGGCCTGGAGAGAGCTGTGCCTGCCTGGCTGCATGGCCTGGCCAGACAGTTGTTACTGCCTCTTGCTTTCTGAGTGGAGCCTTGTGGAGGCCTGGCCCCATTCACCTAATGTTTTCCTCTTCCCTCTTCACCAAACACCAGGGCAGGACGAGTGAACACCACCTCTGGGTGATCTCAGGAAAAGATGACCCAGCTTACCCTCTCATTGGTAAGAGCTCTCCCGTTTCCCCTCAAATCTAGCACCACGGGAACAAGTGGTAAGTGACATTGGTGTATGTGGCAGGGAAACATCTCAAACATTCCAGTCTTCACTTTAAAAAGCCATGGTAGGGGGGCTGTGGCTGATGTGAGGTGTGACATCAAGCTGATGTGAGATGTCACTTGGCTTTTATGGTGTCAGTATCCATGTGTAATCAATGCACGATATCTTTGAAGATCTTCACACTTCCCTCACTTTTCCAAGCAAATCTGTGCATTCCTGGGTGGGAACCCATGGCACTTTTCAGCAGTCGCAGCAGAGGAGAGTGCTGGAGGTGATTTCAGAAATAGAAGAACCATTTTAAAGTAAACCTCTGAAATTTGTCTGTTAAGTGCTAATGGTGATCATTATGGAGATCACCAAAGCTGGAATTTTGAAACAATAATAACAATAATCATAGTTTTTATGTGTGGATTGTTGGCAAAATCAATCAAGACAGCAAAATATAAGATTGCATGTACAATCTGCCAGAGAGGAAGCGAGGAAATAGACTGATTTACCCAGCACCTAAACCAAAGCTGTTAGATGCATTTCAGCTGCTTTCTTCTGTAATGGATGTGTCAGTGGTGCAGCCCTTGCTCAGTCACACCAAATGAGTAATCTCAGCATTAACTCTGCATTATGTTTTCATGATAACCCAACACATACACCCCCAGGCTCCTCAGTGAAGTGTATGCATGCTGGTTTATTGAAGAGAACTTGCTCCAAAGACCATGTTGTCATAGTAAGACTATTATTCTGGGGCTCCATAGACTGTGGGTTTGTTAGTGGATGTGTATGGGTGTTTCCAAGCCATCGTACCACATGCTTGCTTTTTGTATTCATCCAATACCTTCTAGCCTGTCATAGTGAGCTAGCTGCTGCAGAGAGAGGCTTACAGTGCTTTGTTAGTGCAGTGGGGCCCATAAGCCTATTAATAAAGGTTTAAACCCAGTTTATAGTGCTTTGTCCTATAGGATTCTGGAGAGCTGCTAATGAAGAGTGGCTGGCCAGGTTTAATTGGATGTACTTGTAAAGCAGTGGTCATATATATATGCATAGATGTGCCCAGGCCTCTTTAGTCCACAGGTGGAGGTTTTGAGCAACGTTGCTTAGAGGTCCAGCTGCAGTGGGAGCCATTGGATGTGGCTGCTTCCTCCTGCCTGGATTTGGAGCTATTTTCACATAGCTTTGCATCTTTTCTTGATCTTTACAGAACTTTTTGCTCAACAGGGCACGAGCATCCTTTCAGCATCGCGTTGAACTGTCTCCGGGACTCTGCTGACCAGCAACAAGGAACCAATAACAACACCCTCCTGGCTGATGGGACAGAGGCTTCCTTCCTTGATCAGCTCCCAAAGGAGAAACAGTGTCAGTTTGTCCTGAAACCCCGGCTCCAAGCTCCAGTGCAGATGAGGAGAGGTAGGGGCTGCAGGGCTGCGTTACAAGCAGGCAGAGAATTTGCTGCTTTCCATGGCAGTGCCAAACTCTTCCAAGCATCACATGTATCCCAGAGTCACTCTTTATGTGAGTGTATGCACAGAGGAAGAGATCACAGAGGGGCTAAATTTGTCTGTGTCTTGAATGGGTTTCCATTCAGAATTACCTTTCAGTCCTTGATGAGCTTCCAATTCCAAGCCATTCTTGCACTGCACAGACAGCAAGGTTCCCTGAAGAGCAGTGATTGAATAGGAGCTTTGCTGGTGGTTGAGAGATGAACAAGTGGTTTCACTGCTCTATAATATCTGGCCTTCCCCATAAAGAGAGTAGCTATAAACAAGCAATGGTAGAAAGTCCTTGCTTTGCTGGGAACTCTGCCTCCACTGTAGGTCACTCACTGGCCAGCAGGAAGGACAGAGAGGTGTCTAACAAAGGTCTGTGGTTTCTTTCAGAGTCACTGCAGAAACACACCAAGAGGAAGAAGTCCTTGATTGACTGGGCCCTGCGCCGCAGCACCAGCACCCCCACGGGCAGCCCCCCTTCCCAGTCCCCTACCACCCCAAGGAAGCTCTTTGGCCTCTCTCTGTCCTCTGTCTGTCCTGATGGGATCCTTCCCAAGCCAATCATGGTAAGGGGCAGCCTGGAGTGTTTGTCCTGACATAAGCTTCCTATGTTTAGCCCAGAATTTAAAGCCACTTGTGGTATTTATGAGGATTGGATGGGGAAGACTGTAATTTACTTGTGATTCAGATCTAGCTCAATAACAAGGATGAGAGCATCCTTCTCCTGTGTAATCCTTATCTCTTCGTGCACAGATGTCCATCCTCTTTCAGTGGGTATCTCTAGCCAGGTCATCACAACCTGACAAGGGGCAATGTCAGTGGGCTGTGCCATGCTACATAGCCTGGACATCATTCACTACAAGAGTTCACTGGGCTCACACTTGCCACTGGATCAGTGGTACTTGAACTGTACCTGCAACAAGAGCTGACAGGCTCTTACCCCTGGTTAAATCACAATAAGTCTCTGTATGGCTGTCCTCTTCCCAGTACTGACTAGTCTTAAGCTAATTATAATATGTGAGGCATAATATACACAAACAACAGGGTAAAGTGTTAGGCTCTTAAGTACAACTGGGCTTTCTCTTAGGATATGTTGCTCCTGCTGTACCATGAAGGTCCCTCTACTAGGGGCATTTTCAGACGTTCTGCCAATGCAAAGACATGCAAGGAGCTGAAAGAGAAGCTGAACTCTGGAGATGATGTCCAGGTGGATGGAGAGTCAGTCTTCGTGGCTGCAGCTGTCATCACGGTATGTTTGGCCAAGTAACTCAGCTGCCTGGGCTAATGGTACCTTCCTTCTTTAAGGATGCAACATGAGTCTTTATGGGTAGGGAAGATGTGGGGAGGGGGGGACAGAAAGGGTTTCCAGCCAGGCACATTCTCACCTGATGGCTTGGTCCATCTGTGTGCACAGAGGCCTCTGCCTGACCCTGTGGTGCTTGTTTTCACACGCAGATCTATGCCGTGACCCTCAGGCCAGTGTTTCCTTTTGCACCTCCCTGTACAAACAGCCTCCAGCAGGCAGTATAGTCATGTCAGCCTCCAGGATAACCATGGCGTCTGCACAGTGCCAAATAACATGACAGAGCCTGGAGTCAGTGATTCGGGTGCTGCACTGACATGGGCATAAAGCCCCTTGGTGGCTGCAGCACGGATGCTCTTTGTCCTTTCAGGACACACAGAAAAGACTGCAGGGAGATAGGGGAGGACACATGCCACTGAAGGGCAACTGCATCCCCCCCAGATAGAGTGGCCGTGCTCAAAGGAGCTGGCCTGTACTGTCTAGACCTTAAGCCATCACCCTGTAATCAGCCAGCAAGCAAGAGGGAAAACAGCTGCCAGATCCAAGCAGAGGGGTTGTAGTGGGTGGGGAACGAAGTTTGTGATAACACCTAAGTTTTAGTAAGAAAAGGCCTTTACACTGGCAATTAAATCTGGTCAGAACAATTCAGGCACTTAAAGCATCAAAAACCACCCCTATCTCTTGCTCTTGTTGACCCAATACAAAAAGCTGTTGACTGGGAGTATTCAGGCACTTTCCAACACAAGACATACACTAGGTGGTTAAATAGTCCCCTGAGAAAACTACAGAAACAAGAACTGTTTCAAAGAGAACTGTGCACAGCCTTAGGGGCGAGTCCTTCGCCTGCTGCAGCAGAGATGAGCCCTGCTGGAAGAAGGGGCAGGGACGAGGGCTGGCTGCTCCCCACTGCTGCTGCAGGGCTGTGCTGGAAGGGCCCTGGGAGGGCAGCTTGGGGGAGGTGGGGAGGTGGGGGGAAACGTATCTGTGTTGTGTCTTGTTTTATCTTCTGCTTAATATGAATAAACAATGACTGCTGTATGCATCGTGAAACCAAAACAAGGAATTCAAAACTGACCAGACTGCTCTGCATATATATATTTAATTCAGGATTTTCTCCGAAATATACCTGACAGTGTTCTATCCTCAGACATGCACGGACTGTGGATGGAAGCTGTGGACACAGAAAATCGGGCACGTAAGATTGAAGCTATCAAAAGGTTTGTAAAAGCTTCTTTTGGTGGGAGAGGGGGGAGCATATGGCCCTAAGCACAGACTTCATCTGCTGGGAGACTCCTGGCAAGGCTCCAGGCCACAGTAGAGCTATTGCTGATTGCCAGTGTCACTGGTCAGAATGTTTTCCTTTCAGTGGTCTTTTATGAACATTTCTGACCCAAAAAAATTCCATTAGAAAATTCTTTTCTGATGACTAGTTCAAATTACCAGAAACGGCGAACGGAAGCAGCACAATGACCTGGCCACCAGGAGTACACCAAATGCTGGTGGAATTAGATCTTTAATGATGGCAACTTTTCTCTTATGTGCACAAAGTGAGTGAAGCTGATCATCATACTGGCAGTTAGAAGAAATAGCCTCACCAAGATGGTGACAGAGACCTTGAGAACAGCTTAACTGCCTTGAAACTGCTGCCCTGAGCAAGAACACTCTGTCAGCATCCCGTGGGATATGCCGTGTGTCAAACCCCTTGTCAGAGGCTCAGCTCAGTTCTTGAACCTTACCATTTGACCTGGGCCTCCTTCCTCCATTGTCTCTATGGCATGGGACACAGGCAGTGGCATTGCCCTGTGTGCTGCTGGCCTGGAGCTGTCTGCCTCTCCTCTGGGAAGTTTTATTGAGGCATTATGGACTTCTACCCACGTGTGATGGACATTAAGTCCCTTGTCTCCAGCTCTGTGACCAGAGTGGGTAGGCAGTATGGGTGTGAAGTTGTGGCTCTCCCATAAGCTGATGGAGTGCCACAGTCTGTGTTACCAGATGTGAGTGCCTCAAACCAGTTGCAAAATGGCAGAAGGGGGCAAAAGCTTTGGGACGTAACCTCTGATGCCTGAAGAGCAGACTTTCTGAACAACACTGTTTTCCTTTCCTCCCACTCCCTGAATAGTCTAGTGAACCAGCTTCCAGAGGCAAACCTCATCTTACTCAGACACCTCTTTGGAGTCCTCCATCATATCGAGCAGAATTCTGGTGTGAATCAGATGAATGCCTTTAACCTGGCTCTTTGCATAGCACCCAATATGCTGTGGCTACCAAGTCCCACTGGGCCTGAAGAGGAGAGCAGGTCTACAAAAAAGGTAATCTTTCCTGGCTTGGCCTCGTGCCTGTCTTCCCCTTTTACGGGCGCTGTGTTTTGCAGACTGAAGGAAGCCAGCTGAGTGGCATCTGGCCTGTGGCCTTTCCCTGTGCCCGTGCTGGCAGGGGAATGTGCTTTATCCAAGGTGGAAAGGGAAGCTGTGGTTGCTTTACCAGATGAACTTCCCTTATGGTCAAGCAAGCACGAGAAGGATGGAGCAGCTGAAGTTAGACACTGCCACTTCAGCTGGGTTAAAGCCATCTTGCAAAGACAGAGTAAGCAATGAACATGACAGTGCCTCAGAGGGAGGAATGCTTACTTGTAGCTTATGAGGTGTTCTCAATAGTAAGGAAAATTGTAGAATGTGCTGTACCAAGCTCACTGTGCCAGTGCATGTAGCTCATATTCTTGCCCCAGGTGTTCATACAGAAGCATTGCCACGTTCTTTACAGCTTCTTGAGCAAAATGTTCTGTAGGAAATTACGTCTTTGTCAAAAGAGAAGGAACATTCTGGCACTGATTGAGTTGCTTTATACAGGTGGTTATATATTCATCAAACTGACTGTAAATTCATGTCTTTGCCAGGTGGCCTTATTAGTGCAATTCCTGATTGAAAACTCGGGCGAGATTTTTGGAGGTGACATTGCTTCCTTGTTTCAAAGACCAGACAAAAAGAATATCAAAAACTCAGAGGAATCTCTGGGTAAGTTGGTGGTATTGCACCTTCCAGAAACGTTTTGAATCTTTTAATAGGTAAACTTGTGCAAAAGAGTTTGTTTTCCCTTCATGTCTCTTCCAAGGAAAAGCACTGAAGAACAGTTGGGTCTGGTTTTCCCTTTGCCTGTCAGGCAATTTGAGGAATTGAGGGCAAAGCAGAGGGCTGAGATGCATCACTTCAAATGTGTCCCTCAGGATGGTTGTCTTTCTCTGTGGCTGCTGTTCAACCTATTCCAGCCATCACAAGAATTTAGTTTAGCCTTAGCAATGCCATGTCCCAGCAGGCTTTTCTTCCAGATTAGTTCTGTAAAGCTAAACCAGATGGTTGAATGAAAAGAGATCTAGTCGTCTCTGTTAAATATCCTGTGAATACAGGCCAGTGGTGAAAGCTCAGGTCATCTAGCCAGAATTTTTTATGTTGCTCCCAAGCCTGCTCTGGTCCCTGTGAAAATAATGGCTCGTCTTTACTTTGCCACAGACTTGATAATATTTCCCTGCCTTAGTTGTAAGGAACTATATGGGGTTAGGAGATGGAGGCAACAAATTAATTTGTGTTCTCTGCCTGAGGTGTAGGCTTGGCTCAGCACGACGAGTCCTCCGACGAGCTGGAATTTTCTGCTTGTGACCCAGAAGGGCCAGGACAGCACCTGGTACCTGACATGGATGCCATTTTTGAACCATCCGGCAGTCTGCTACTCGACGAGGATCAGGAGGACTGGGACTTGTTCAGTGAAATCACAGCCTGCTACCAGAGCCAGTGCCGGAAGAACGCCCGTGCCGACAGCTATGACCTGCTGGAGGAGGAGGGCTCTTTCTGCTCCCTGGGCTCCATCCGCTCGCTCAGCCCGGCCAGGGGCCGCTGCTCCTCGGAGCCCAGCGTCTGCCTCAGCTCTCAGCTCCCTGCTCAGAGCCACGAGCCGGTGGCCCGCCAGTCCAGCTGCGATGCCACCATCATGCACAGCCACACCGACTACATCCACAGGCTCAGGCAGCTGCAGGTAGAGAGCCAGAAGTTGATTGATGAAGGCCTAAGCCCGGGGGCTAATAAAGCCAGGCAGAACTTGTGGCAGTCAGCTCAGACCAGCTCTCAGGTGAAGAAGTTCAGCCATCACAAGTCCAGCCTGTCCAACAGGTCCAGCTTCTCTAGCTTGTCTTCTACCACCACCTCCCCATCTGCCTCCTCGCTCAGCTCCCTAGACAGTGCTTTCTCCTACTGCTCAGAGTCGTCAGCCATTAGTCCCACAGACGTCTCCTCCCTACCATTCATGTTTGGCACGTCTGCCAGGCTTCATGCTGTGTCCCCCAAGGTTGCCAAGAAGTCCCCAAAAGAGTTGCACAAGTTCTTCACATCTCCTGTGTCTTTAAACCCATGTGACCTGCACAGTTTCCATGAGTATGACCCCAAGGCTGTAGAGAGCAGTCATTGCTTTGGAGAGAGGAAAGGTTTTCCACCTCTCAGCAGAGCTGCTGTGGGAAGCCCGTTAACTGACAAGGACTGGGAAGAAGAGATACAGCTGAGTTGTGTAGGGGGCCCTGGCCCAGGGCCCAGGAGCCAGGATTATACCAAAGAGTTTGAACAAA